GCATCGGCCTCATCTGCCCCAACCCTGCACCCACCCCTGCTGCTCCCCAAGCCCAGCCCCGGGGCACAGCCCTCGCCTCCCCACGAGGGTCCCGTGCCCCCAGCACTCACCCTGAGGACTTCTCCGGCTTGGGGGGCAGCGCCAGGGGTTTCCCACTCAAGCCGGGGATCTTGCAGGACTTGGAGCGCTGCACGTGGGGGTCCTTGGGGGGGGTCGCCTTGCTGTCCCCCGGCGGCGCCCCCTCCTCGGCCGAGCGGTTTCGGCCCCTCAGCTTGGCCTGGGCACAGAGGAGTGAAGTCAGGCTGGCACACGGTGCTCTGCCCCCTCCCAAATCCTCCCACTGCCTCCTCCCCATCCCTCCCTGCCGCTGCCTGCCTTTGGCCAACCCCCCAGCCCCAACCTGCCTCAGTTTCCCCTCCCCTTGTTAAACCCTGCCCTCCACCTGGCCGGGAGGCGTCACCCCACTCGCTCGGGGTCCCGGTGGGCCCCACCTTGAGGGCGGACGTGTTGAGGCCGGGGAAGAGCGGCACCTTGACCCCCTTGCTCGACAGGGACGCTCGCACCCGCCGGCTCTTGGGTTCCTCCGCTGCCTCCTCATCAGAGGACGCTGCTGGGCGGTCTGGACGGGGCTCTGCGGGAAGGACATGGGGGACAGCGTCACCGTGAGACACCTCTGCTGCGGACAGACAGCCCCACGGTCCCTCTCCTGTTGTCACCGTCCCACGGGCTCTCACCTGTGGAGTCCCGGAAGATCCAGCTGTCCCCTTCCGAGGCAGCCCCGGGGCGGAGGGCCGGCGCCCGGTGCCTGCGCTTGCGGCCCAGGTTGGCCTTGCTGCGGTACACGCTGCTGTCCAGGACCTCCGTGTCCTGCAGAGCCACAGGGACAGGTCAGCGCCCAGCACCAGGGAGCCCTGGGACCCCCACTCCACCCACCCAGCGTGCCCACGGACCCCCGCAACAGCACTGGGGGGCCCTGAATCCACAGTCTGCCCCTCGGGGGAGGCTGGGGCCAGAGGGTGAAGCCCCCATCCCCAGAGGGGGACAGGAACAGGACCCCCAGACAAGCGTGTCTGTGACGGTCGGGCACCCCCAGAGCCGTACAAGGGGGCTGGTAGCTGCCCCCTCTGCCCCCTCCCCGCTCACCTCCAGGAAGGTGAATTCCTGCCCGGCGTGGTCCGTGGGTCCCTCGGGCTGAGGGACGCCCAGGAAGAGCCGCTTCTCCTCCCAGCTTGGTGGTCTCTTCCCATCCAGGTGGTCCGAGGGGGCTTCTTCGCTCTCCGTGTCTGGCAGGGTCCCGCCGGCAGCCTCTGGCAGCAGAGGGGAGGCCCTGGGGCTCCGCGGGGCAGCGGCCGGCTTGGGGGGGTCCCTCTCCTCCTCGGTGGGGCTGGG